CCCCCCCCCCCCTCTCTCTCGGTAATTTCATGAAAATTAAGATGAAAGTATAGATTTTTAATAGAGTCTCAAAAGTGGTTTCTGTCAATGAAGAAGATAAATATAATTTTGGTTTTATTTTTATCTTCCTACTAGATAATAGGTATATTTTGTTATTATTGTTATTTCTAATTTGTTGTGGTTTTCCTTGCTTTTAGAAAATTATAACTGATACGGCGATATCGCCTAGTCCACATATCATCACAATTATAGAAACTACATTATCATTTAGGCTGTATATTTACTAAACAAATATTAAATGTAAAATTTAGTAATAGGTACCTAAAAGGCTAAAAAGCTGTTCTAGCATAATAGTGACGAGTACAGCCACTGTTATAGGCACTTAAATGTATATCTGTAAGCAACAAATAACGAAAAAACGATTCTGAGCGAAGTTCGGCCATTAGTATTACTTTGTCAATAATATATATAGCATATAGTGGTAAAATAATTAAATAGGTATTACATAGATTCTTTAATAATATTTGTCTAAAATTGTATCTATATTCCCGGCTTTCACATTTATTGGGGAAACTCCTGAGAAAATTGAAAAATTACCTCCCTTAAGTACCTTCCCAGTCAGATTTCTTTTCAGAAAAAGTGCTATCATTTTAAATCAGAGCGAAATTGCTGGTAGAAAAATTGTACACAAAAAAAAAAGGCCAAAATAGTTTTTTACTAATATCTTCATTTCGTAAGTTTTCCGCTTTTCCGACATTTTATCCCGGTTTTTCCCAGGTATTATGAAAACCCTTTGAAAAATCAATAAACGACCTTCCAAAAGTACCATTTGGGCAACATTCCCTTTCAGAAATGGTACCACGCGAATAATTGAGCAAGATTTCTGGCAGAATTTTTGTGCACAGGATAAAAAAAATAAAAATAAATAAACATCTTTGTAAAACCAATGCATTCTTCGCTACACTCAAAATCCAAAACGAATAACTTAATCATGAACTAGATTAAAAATGAAACAAAAAAGGTCTCTTGTCGTTCATCTATTGGAGCAATGTTTATGGTAGAAACATAATAAAAACAAGGAAAACGGTAACACTACGGAGCGCTTTTACCGTTTTACGTTTCTTTCGGGGTTTTCCCAATTATTTCGAAAACCTCTTGGAAAATCAAAAAATGATCTCCAAAATTCACCAACGAGAGAAAATTGCCTTAAAAGAAAACAAATTCACACACATAGTGAAACTAATAGATTCCTCGCTACGCTCCGAACAAAAGAAAAACAGAAAATCGAATTCACTTATCCGCAATTTTATTCACAATCGTCGCGGAAAATTGCTATAGTTCATCGGGGAAAAAAAAAAAAACGCCCCGTATAAACATATATTATGCAACCGCGTCCAACACCGTTTTTTTCCGTGTGTTTACATATTACATTCAAAAGTAACGAGGTAACGTGAGCAGTGTAGATGTCAGAGCAGTTCTTTATTCGCTGCGATTTTGGTACTTCGATTTTCGACTTTTGCCGCGTCGATTGTGGATACGAGTCGATATTTTCGCCGCGTTTTCAAAAATTCAAATCTCCGGCACACAAACGCGGTTTCCGGGAAACGTCAATGCGGCGTATTATAGCCACACGGCTTGTATAACTGCTTTTTTTTTTTTTTCAATTTCTTTCCGTTCATTCATACGCACAAACCGTACGGGTACGGGTATAGGCACGCGCGTGGTTCTTCCCCCGGCCGGACAGGAAAACAACGCGTACGATGCTATACGAAAAAGGACAATATCCATTGGAAAGTCGTATAAACAATTTCTTGAACCAGTTTTACGCGTATGTATGGTGTATGTATATATACGCGGACGGAGAAATATATATATATATGTATAAAAATTTTTAATTAGGACGGCATATATGACTTGGACCGATCGGAGACGGCGGCGGTGACGACCACGACCGCGACGTCAGTTTCGGCCGAACTCTGTATAGGGAAGGTATTCGGTATATACCCAATGTATAATAATACGATACGTGTACGCGCGCACGTACTCCGGTTGTCAACTGGTTACCAATAGCGGACCGCGAGCCGCGACCGGTAAAGACCATTTACGACCCGCACGGTAAATCACCGGACCGCTGAACGATAATACGAGATTATGAAAACCGTGCCTGCCAGAAACCCTTTTCTCTCCGCCCTCCGCCCTCCACTCACCGCAATCGTATCTTCGCCTCTTGCCGGGCCAACTTCCCTCGTCCGCATATGCTGTCTTCCGTAACCCCTCCCACTCCCTCCCGAATAGAGGCCACTTTTATTTCCGGACGACCGTTATGGGATCGAAAACGTGAGAGAGAGTTTCCTCTCGTTTGTCCGATGCGGCAGCAGACGACCGCGGCGACGACGACGTCAGCTGCCCGTCGTCGTCAACGACCCGACGGAGGCGGATTTCCTCTATTTTTAAAAGACATATACAATGTGTACCTATATATTTTTTCTTTCTTTTTTTCTTTTTATCCACTCTCAAAGCACGTCTGTTTTTTTTTTTTTATGTATTTATACTTATATGTGATTTTACATTTACCGCGCGCTCGATCGTCACGTCCGTAGAAATTAAAACGGCGCGAGAAAATGCGATATTAAGTAAACGAGAATCGGACTGCTTTGAAACATTAACTACGGCTGAAAAAACCCTGTTAAATAATCAGTTTGATTCAATACGGTCACTGTAAATTAAACTAAACATTTATTAACATTGCATAGATGATGTCGCACACATATGGCTATTTATATACTTTAGATTTTTTTTTTTTGGTTTAATAGATGATAAATAATAGATCTATTAGAAATAAACTATTTGTATACAACAGTGCTAAATATGTTTATATGCTAAGAGTAAGAAACACGAAGGAGTTGAATAAGCAGGCACCCATTAGTGAACCCTTAACTGGATTGCTCGTATATAACGTTGCAATATGTGATGCAAAGAACGAGCTTACTCGGATTTATCACAAACCATTTTGGAGAAATGATTTTAAAAGGATGCACAAAATGGATATGAAAATCGTCGAGTTACCCTCGTGACTGTTTTTCGATACATTAAAAATTCAAATATAATATAAATTTTGGCGAAAAGAAAAATTCAATAATCTAAACCGTTAAAATATTATTTTTTATTTTAACGCATTGTTTATTATTTTTATTAGTGATCCATACAATATTAAACTAGGTGACTAAATATAAGAATTTCTATTTATTTTTTTTTTTTTGATAACAATAAAACACATTTTATTTAAACTGTTAACAATTTATTGTACAACGGATAGTAATCGTTTAGCTCTTCAAGGCATTTTGGTCGGGCAAAATACAAACATTCGTGTATAATAAATAGTAAGTATAAAGTTGATTTTAATTCCGTTTTCAGTTGTGGTCTTTAGAATACGTGACCGATTTAATTTTTTATAATTTTATCGAATTTTTCTCATTATTCGATTTTATAAAATCTAGTTGGCGTGTTGAAATAGTTTCCCGCACTGTCGCTAATTAAAAGCTAAATTTTAATACCAATTTGAATAGCAATAGCGAATAGTGGGGCATTTTATACTTTATTGATAGATGTACTCGAATAATATATTTATCGACATTAGAAAATAAACAACTTGACCATTTTACGTATATAATCTCTATAAAAGTTTAATGTTTAGGCAACTGTCTGTCGTATATATTTCTGCAGTTATTGATTGAAATGCGTACGTTTTATTTAGCAAACTGTTCAAAACCACATCATAACCTATAATTTGTCCGTACAATTATAATAACTAGGTACCTACTTGATACATTTATCATATCCGTGTACATTGTACTTATTGAACGTCTTGATACATTGGAAACACTTGTAGGTAGATAGATACTTATAATAATATTTGTTAGTGTCGTAAAAAAATGTACATATTTATATATAACCATTACCCATCAAATTTCAAAATTCCTATACACTTCTCACTCCATTTTAATAATACACCTACTTGAATTGTTTATTTTTAGAACGTACCTAATCTCCTCTTTTTTAAAAAATAAATCAATAAATCTGTCTCACGGTTCTAAAACTATTTTTAAACCCCCAAAAATTATTTAAAATACTTAACTACCTACTCACTCTTTTAGATAGGTACAATATTAGTTTTAGCTTAATGACGTACCCAAGAAGGGGAAAACATGTTTGCACATGATAGGTTTCTGCAGTAAAAAACTTAATACCAAAAATAAATGAACTAAAATTAGGGTTAAGATTTACATAATTAAATATAAGTAGTTAAGATATTGCATACAACAATAAATAGATATTTAAAAAAATTACCAAATCTAGGAATTACAAGATCTTCCAATAAACTTCTTTGTCTTGGTCCCTCCAAACGCCTAAAATCTAGCCCATATTTTACATTTAATGAAACAAATTTTTGATATATTATGTTCGTCGGTATCTTTTACAACGACGATTTTTTTTTTTTTGTAAATGATTGAGTATAATTGGTTTAATATACTTTATTGTACATTTGTTTCAGTGGATAATGAAAAGTTGATTAAAGAATTACGGGAAACAGCATCGAAGCAAAGAATCGTATTGATAGATAAAAATCACTTATCCAGTGAACAGTTGTAGTTAGACTGAAATATCTGTTTTAATTTAAATTATTAATATGTACTACCAATATTTTAAATATTTGTTGAAAATAAAATAATGTCGTCACATTTTTCAACCAACATTATAGTTTTAAAAATAAAAATACTCACTTATCATATCACATATTTATTTCAATAATTATTTTATTTTTGAAAAGTAATTACAAATGTTGAAAATTCAGAATAAAATATAACTCTCCCATTTTGAAGACTCATCAAAAGAATTAGAAATTGTTATTTGAAGTAGGTTTTGATAATAGCTCTTTACAAAATTAAGTTAAATGAAACTATTTAACAATATTATTGATGAAAAATATGATTATATGTTTTTCATTTAGCACCAAAATTCTCTAATTCACTAAATTTCAGCTGCTGAATTTGAGTGTTACTTAAAGAAAGCCCGAAGCTACGCTCGATTATCTGTTTGATATCCACGCCCATCAAAGAATCCAATCCTAAATCAGCTAATGTAGACGTAGGCTTAACTGAAGACGGATCTTGAATTCCTGAAATGCATAGATATTCGTATTAAATTAATTAATTATAACAAAGTTTTAAAACAAAATTTATGAAAAATGAAATATATGATTTAGTTTCCTATATGATAAATAGATACCTATACAATATAATTGTCGTTTTTTATCTTGAAATCGAAATGAAAATGGTTTTCTGTAAATACTTAAATACTTACTTAATAATATAATAATATTACTTATTGAATGAAATGCCTGTCTAAAAGTTTAACATTTTACTAGAAGAACGCAAAATGTATTTGCCTTAACCATTAGTTTTATAAATGTCTACATTCACAGATAATGTTCTATTCTAACTTTATAGTTTAGGTTAAAATACCTATTCAAAATATTGGACATTGGAACTTTGTAATAAACTACAGTCGGTTTATCTTTGTTAGACGAGTTATATAACATTGAGATATTATAGATACGTATAATAATAATAATAATAATAATGTAATTCTTTGTTTCCCTGGGTTATGTGAAATCGTTTCAAATTAATACTTGAAGGCCACAATTTGTTTTTTATAGGATTTTGTTGTGGGTTCAACTTCAAAGTAAAAATTAGAATCACTAATTTTTAAAAAAAAATAGTTTTTTAATTTTTTTAATTAGCTTTTTATCTGTGACTATGCAGCTCGACAACAAATAAAATATCCCTAGTTTATTTTATGTTTTATAATTTAATATTATGTAATTTTACCCATAATTCCAGCAACGATCTCTGTAAGTGATTGCGATTTTGTATCATCTGTTTGTTTTCTTTTATTTGGTATTACATGTGAAGCAACTATGGCTGAACTCTGTGTTAAAAGTATATCTAATGCAGCTAAACATGATGATATTTTTTGGGCTAATGTGCCATTAATTTCTTTTTCTTCATTTCCACGGGTTAATAAATATGCCATTCCGACATCGCCAATTCCTCCCCATTGAATTGATTGCTGTTGAGTAAACACATTATTTTTACATTAGATAGAATCAATAAGCAAGGAATTTTATAAAAACAAATGTATTCTTACAGCCGGTAAACTTTGTTTTTGTCTTTGTTCTGAAATCCTTTCCATTATAGAATTTGCATAACCATAATTAGTTTGACCTCTGTTACCTCTACCACATGAAATGGAAGAAAAAGTAACAAAATATTCTAAATCTGTGCTTACACTTCTAGATGCTTCATCTAAATATTTAGTTGTCAAAACTTTACTATTATATACAGTTTGGAAGTTATCTATAGTTTGGTTTTCAAATATGCCATCTCTTAAAACCTAAATTATTAAATTGTTAAAAATATAAAAACTATTATGTTAAATAAAATAATGAAATGTATCACACCCCGGCCATATTGAAAATTCCACCAAGTGATCCTAGACTCAGAGCTAATTTTATAGTATCCTTAGCTCCTTCCAATGTAGTGAGGTCATATGTGCTGATTTCCACATTAATTCCTTGACTTTTCCAAATTTGTACTCTATATTTTTGGTATCCAGTTTGTAATCCACTTCGAGAACAAAGAATAATATTTTTTGATCCACGTTCTACCATCCATTCAGTAAGCTCCATTCCAAATCCACCAAGACCACCTGAAATAATTTACAATTGAAACTACAATAAAACAAAAACTTAACAAAAACTCACCTGCAAGTATGTAACTTTTACTTGGGTCAAAGTAAAGTCGTCTATAAACTTCAAAATCAATTTTTGAAAATTCTCCAGCTACTTCAACAATAATCTTTTTACCAGTTTTATTATTAGAATATGATCTATAAAAAACAAAATCACAATTCCTATAACACTTAAAATTGCATAAATAAAATTACTGGTTGGCATTGCCAGTAGTAAAATATTAATATATTTTTAATTAGGTACCTGAATGCTAATTCAATTTCAAGATATGGAAACACAGAAAAAGATAGGGGTTTTATGAGTCCAAGTGTCAGGTTTGATTCCACAAATGAATAAACACTGTTCACAAATTCAGTATTTAAGATAGGTATATTGTCAAATTTAGCTGATATAACTTCAAATGCTATTGATGAACCTAAAAATAAATATTGTAGCATAAGGTTTCTTATTTCTTAAAATATAAATTAATATTAAACCAATGGAAAAAAAAGAATGTTTAACAAATTTTACTTGTTAAAAATGAACTGTCTGTATTTTCAGTTACAACAATTTTAGCTTCATCTGCAAGTATTTCTGATAAATCCTTTGGAATATTTTTAAATAAAACAGCATAATCAATTCCGTGACTTCGCGTTAGTTTTGATACTATATTTACAAATTTCGAATCAAATCGTGTAGTTGAAACTTGACTTACCTTTATTCAATTTAAAAATAACTTGGTAATAATTAAATTGTTCTAAATAATATTTAATTTACTTACTCCAGGATAATTTGTTTTTATGAATTCAAGTTGTTCTTTGGTTTCAGTTATAACAAACACTTTGCACTTGAAGGATAGAGCAATAGAAATAGTTGCGTAACTAGCACTATTACTACTTGTGAATACTAATACATTTTTGGATTCCGATAATTTTCCTTTAAATATTAAAGCGTAGGTAGCCTAAATTATAGATAATCAATTGTAGTAATATTCCTATATTATTATTCTACGATCTACTGTCTTTATTATTTTACCATAAAAAATGAATATGGAACGGTGGCAGCTTGTTTTAAAGTCCACCCTTGGGGTACATTCCACGAAAGAGTATTACTTTGATTAACAGTCGTAGATAATGCACCATTTTTAACTAATCCCATTACTCTTTGACCATTTGATTTAATACCAGAAAATTCAACACCAAATTCAGTTTTCTAAAATATAAAATCCATATACATTAATATATTTTTAGTAATTATATTAAATCTTGTAAAATATATTTTAAATTATTTCAGTTACCATTGAAGAAATTGCAGCTAAGTCTACATTATTAACACCTACATATGATATTTTAATCAAATCATTGTCAGAAGAGTTTGAATATCTGCAAAAGTTTAAATAAATATCACACTTTAAAATGATCATAAGTAAAATAAATTATAATAGTTTGTTTAATAAAGAATATAAATTAATTTACTTGGTTGATTGAATCCATTGTAATGTTGTTAGGTCGCCCTTGGTCTGTACAGACACTTTTGCATTAGCTGTTTGAACATTCGAATTAGTTTTGATATCAATGGGTAAATGTCTGTATGATCCCCAAGCTCCATTTCTTTCTACGTTGAAAAACAAATCCATTTCCAGTAGTGGTGCAAAATCTTTTAAAGTACATTTGCTACCAGATTCAGCCAATATGCATCTTAATAAAAAACAAATATATATTATATGACTAATAATTAACTTTGTAATTTTAATAATAAATTACCTAATAGGGTTTTCTTCACCAGTAAATTCTTCAACTAAACATTTTGATAGTCCTAGAACACCATTGACATTTTGATCACTATACACTATAACTTTTTTGTTTGGATTTCCTTTAATGTTAGCTAGTTCAGTTTTCAAAGATTCTACCCATGAAAACTGTTCATCCTCAATCTTTAAAGTTGTGTACTCATATTTAGGTGATAACTAAACAGATTGAAAACAATCAATAAAATAAAAATACAATAGTTATTTCATGTATTACTTTTTTAAGTAGGAAGTACTTCTTGTTATTATTTTCAATAACATTTACTACTTGAAGACTCAATGATTTTAAAACTGACGAAGGTACAGCAGAAATATTTTCTATTAAAAGTATAAATCCTCTTGGAGCTAAAGATGCAGAAATCTTACTCAACAAAGTAATATCAAATTGAGAATCTTCAGAAATTACTAAATGATTTTCTTTGGGTAATGATTCATTTTTAATATCAAAGTTTACTATTCCAATATCTAAATCTGTTATTTTGCTTTCTTCGACATTAATAGGCTTATTCGATAAAACAGAATAGTCCACCTAAATAATCGTACAATTATAATTAATTATGTGAAGAATATTTTAATTATCCTATATACTGGGTGGAAAAAATGGATGGTCTTTTATATAATATTCATACTCTGTACATACATAGTTTAAAGACGGTACATTTTTTTTCATACTCAAAAAATGACGTTTTTAGGTTATAATTGTACAAGTTTTTATGATAAAAAAAATGACTATCATCATGAAAACGGGTAGGTACACTATTTTAATATGAAATAATATGTGACATAATTTTAGAATTTTTAATCACCTTTTGTGATAATTTGGTGGTAATTAGTAATAACAAATTTACGAAAAATCGAGTAACACTTCATTTTAGGGTATATTTTGAGTACAAATGTTTGATAATATGACTTCCTCGATAGGTACTCCTGATATCACCTCATTGGATTATTTTCTATGTGCAAAATGTGAAGGTTAGCCTATGCAGTCTCGAACACAACAAAGACGAACTTTAAATTATAATTTAACAAACCACTATGGATATTCAAACTATACTTGAAAGATTTAGGCAATCTATTAAGAAAAATAGTACAACATTGCAAAAGAATTAATCGTGATATTTTTTAAAATTTATTCTAAAATATTATCAATAAATATTTAATTTAGATAGGTTGTTTAGTTTGAATTTATTTAATATGCTAGTCCTTTAGTAAGGTCATAATAATGTCTATGGTATGTAAGTAGATTTACAAGAATGCACAATTAATACCAAATAAGGTATAATGTATATTAATTTCATGTAATTTAATATAGTTCTTAATTTTCCTTAATTTAAAATCGCAATGCAGGTATGATTAGGTAAATGATTGGTCACAAAATTTTACCCTAAAATGATGTGTCACATAATTTGTTGTAAATTTATTATTACCAATCACCATCAACCTTACCAAGAGTGATTATAAGTGCTAAAATGGTGTTATATATCATTTCATATTAAACATTTTGCACCTGTTTTCATAGTGGTAGTCGTTTTTACTAAACAAATTTGTCCAGTTATATTCTAAAAACATAAATTCTTGAATAAGTATGAGAAAAAAAGTACCATATTTTTATTAAATATAGGCACTGAGTACGAATATTACATGAAATACTATGCTTTTTTTCAACTCAATATATCAATATAAAACAAATTACATAGAAGTTGGCTTCTGCTTCAATTATTTGAACAATTTCAAAAGCATATAAATTGTTGTTGTAAAGCTCTGCAACTTTTATTAGACGGTCTCCAATGTTTTCCATGAATAAACCAACCAAAGCGTATAAAACTTCATACATTGTTAGTTCATTAGTCTAATTAATATAATAAATTAAATTAAATTAGGTACTACACGTACATGATTGTATAATTATGTTTATATTTACTGTATAAATATTAGGAATAAATGAGTGTCGTTCTAATTTTGCTGGTATTTGCACGTTCTTTCTTAATGGTGCTGGTGTAACTTTCAATTTTGAAATAATGATTCCACCAGACTGTGTTGTTTTAGCGAAATTATAATGGTTGACTTCAACTTCTGAAATAAATTGGCATTAATAAATATTAAATTAATATATTAAATTACATTAGATACCTTTTAAGTTTAAAGACGCTTCAATAACTTGTTTGTGATATACAGGATCAATTATAATTTCTTTAATGTACGTTGGTAAACGCAGTTCTCTTGACTTTATGGATATAAGTTCAAATTGCAAAAGATTATCAATATAGGACACCCAATTTCCAGTCCATGCAACTTTACCTTTAGAACCTGAGAAGTAAAACTGAGTAAATAAAGATGTATGTATAATAATGAAAAGGTAAATTTTTAAAACTGACCTTCACAATTTGCTTCAACAAAACCTAAGAAATCATCTTTGTGTTGATATCCACGCAGTCTCAATTCTTTGTAAAAATCATCTGGATTTAAATCCATTTTTTCTGATATTATTGTCAGATGCTCATTTTGATATTCTCTAATATTTTCATTATACAAATTGATACTACCGGAGACTGTTAAGGAGTTTCCTTCTAAAAGTTCAAACTCACTAGATCCATTAAGAATATTAATATTAAACTTTACAGAGCCTAAAAAAAAAATAAAAAAATAGTTAAATTGAAAATGTATTATATTATGATTACTCGTTATATACTTTCAGTATTCAGAACAGTAGGCTTAAGAAACTTAAGATTCTGGAAAATTACTGGAATATCTTCAAACCATTTTCCTTGAAGTTTTGCAAAAGCTTTCCATATTAATGTCTATAATTATAAATATATTTGAATGATTTACTTTTGTTAAGTAAATTGTTACATTCTTAAGTAATTGATAAATTATATGACTATATGATAATGAAAAGATAAAAAAAATGTTTAGAATATATTGCATACAATTTTAAAAATTTAAGAAAACAAAGATATTTCGCACGGGTAAGCCACTGTTGTAGATGAGAAGTTGGGAAGGTAGAAGGGAAATTTAATGTATATCTGTACGTATAACTGTATAACGTATACGTACTGTATAACAAATTATTACTAACGAAAAACGATTCTGAGTGGAGTTCAGTTTTACATGTCTTGAAAGGCCGTAATATTAACGATTTAAAAATAATACATTTCGTAAATATTCCAGTTTTTCCTACGTATGCGGCGACGGTTTACACTTGGTTTTCAACGCCAGAAGGCGACGTAATCGTGTCTCTGTTGGACACTAAAACCAAGATGGCTTCAATGAAATCCACCAAAATGCCTCAGCTTGAGTTATGCGTCGTGGTGTTGCTAGCAAAATAGATGTCACGGGTGAAGCGCGTGTTCAGTCATAAATTGAAAATTGAAAAAATATACACCTGGCCGGGCTCGTAAAACTTTCTGTCTTGGCTAACTTGCCATTATACATTTTTTAAAATTTGTATTTACAACTGGGTACATCAGGTAAAACAATTGCTTTCTGACTGCTTATGGTACGATCAGGCCCATCACTAGCCTGCTGGAGAACCAAAATAGAGGGAGTGAAAAAGTCGCGAGTTGACCCAACGATGTCAACTCATGTCTACATAAGTATCGTTATCGTTCTCCACCGGTCCATTTTCTTCCCCGATCGCCTTTGCGGCCGTAGTAACAACGTCGCCGACGCCACCCGTGACGTCATCAGCTGCCGCACGTCGCGTCGTATCAACCAAAAGTTCTTTTGTATACATATATATATTTATTCGTTGTCGATTGATAACATACCAACCACTGATTGTTATTTTTTATTATTATTATATTTTTTTTTGTCTTTTCTTTATGAAGCGCGCACTATATTGATTTGAATACGTACAATTTGTACACTTGTACAATACATATTTACTATCTATACTGTATACCAATTACATTCGGTGTTCAATTTTTTTTCTTTTTTATCCTTTCCTCACGATCAGAGTCGCCACGGCTAACCACTTCCATTGTAGTGGCCTGCGTCCAAACAATAGTCATTACATATTTTTTACAAATTACTGACCAAACGAGTGATAGGTACACTCTTTAATGACACATTTATAAAAATCTGCCTCTTTTGTGCATAATTAAATTATAAAAATAGGTAAAACGTTTAATGAACTTTATATAATTACTATGTATCCTGCAGCTGGATATAATATACGCCCGTCAATTTGGTGTCCAATTAAATATTTATCTTGATCAGTTTTTATATCAATTTCCACTTCATTTCCATCTGAACCAGAACTCTAAAAAAAAAAAACTCGATTAATTTAAATGCTCTCAAAAATTAATTATTAAATACAAAAAAACATCCGTGAACAACCGCTCACAGAGTTCCTTCAATAGATTCGAATTTTTTCCCAGTCGACTTTTTGCTGTTACATTATTCAATTTTTTTTTATAATTGATCTAAAATGGTTATGATTACCAGAGTTACTCGTAGTTGTTAATAATATAATCTTTTGTATTTATTTAAAATTTGTATTTACCGACCACGTTTACCCCTATTTCACGCACCACTACTCCTTCCCTCAAATAAAAATACAAATTTTTATATAACCTTCTGGTGATGAAGAATCAAAAAAAAAAAGTTTCATCAAAATATTATTATTTTCTACTATTAAAATAGCTATTAAAACTATTAACGTATGCCTTGTTGCCACATAAATGCCACTACTCTCCCCCCACCAAAACTTAATAGTGGAATATCTTGTCAACGGATTGACGAAAATCTAACATTTTAACACCAAAATTTATTTTAACTAGTACTCCATTTATTTATGGAATTTTTAATATAGATTACCGGTTGAAAATTTAAAGTAATTAATAATTTACCCTCAAAAAGAAGTGTTGAAAAAAATACCATAAATATAAAATTGTAGAGCTGCTTGTATTATAAATGTTCTATAAAACAAATTCCTAAAATGTTATTACTTTCTGAGATAATGAGTGTCTTACGATAAATTTATTGGCCAGTGATTATTCTGTATATTATACAAAACACCATACGGCTCAAAAGTTTTTATTTTTGAGGAAAAATCTACGAAAATGTACTACCCAAATATTTCGTTTACTTGAAAAGTTATTTTAAATAATCTAACATACTTGTTCTGCGAAATTAGCCACTAAATAATCACTTGAATGATCCCACTTTAACATTGGAGATATCATTGGTGTCCCTTTTACTACTGGGTATTCAACTTTGCCATATAGATTTTTCAACTGTGGCTCTGCTCCAGCAATATATAACCTTAAACAAATATCATTCATTCATTCAGACTGCTTGGTAAAAAATATTAAAAACTGTTTATTTAACTGTAAAAGAAACATTTAAACCCTTACTTTCCAATTGCTTCCAATAAGTAATTTAAGTGATTTGAAACAGTTTTTTTTGTCAAACCAACATTTGTAACTGTAGAAGGAAATGATCGTTTCAGAATTGCTTGCAATAAAGAATGCGGGGCAATTTCAATTGTTATAGCATTTTCTGGTATATGCTTCATAGCGCTATGGAAGTAAACTGGAGAACTGATATTATTTAAATGGTAATTCACAGATGAGTACTGAGCATCTGGGGTATTCCATTGTTCTCCGGTTAATGATGTACTCTTCCACCGACTAGTTCTTAGTTTAGGATTTTTCATTATCTATTTAAAAAAAATATTATCATATAATAAAGGTGTTACGAAGAAAAATGTTCTATGAGAACTTACTAATTGCTACAACTTTTGTGTTGGTAAGTATTATAGAAAAATAAAAAAATAATTTTAATATGAAATCTATTAGCATTAACGTTGTAAAAATTAATAAATCTTCGTTTAATATCATTTAAGTATTTATTTATTCTGTGATTTTATTTTGTATATAAATAACTTTACTAATGTAATAGTATTTGTTTATTAATATTATCATATAAACTAGATAGGTATATGTAGTTGTTTATTTTAAATTACCTTTTCGTAGTATGGTTTCAATACTCGTATGAGTTTATGCAGATAAGGTGTATGGAAAGCATATCCCAACGAATCTACAGGTTTAGCAAATATACCTTCTTGCTGTAGAGTTTCAGCAAATTTTAAAGTTATATCTTTAGGTCCGGAAATAGTAACACTGTCAGCGCTATTATGACAAGCTGCTATTATATTTTCAGGAAGTCTTTTTTGAGTTTCTTCCCAAGATAACCCAACGGCAACCATAGCTCCAGATATTACTTCTATTTCCATTAAAACTCGAGATCTCCAGTACATTGTCAATAATGTTTCTTCTAATGTGAAGCACCCATCTGTATATGCACAGGCAATTTCTCCGACTGAGTGACCAATTATTCCATCAGGTTCAATTCCAAGTGAACGCAAAACATCAACGAGTCCAATCTAAAAATGATCAAAATATAAAAATAATAATTCTATTTTAACAATATTTATTTTGTTATGTACCTGGACGATAATAATTGTAATTGTAACATTGAGTATACTCTTAAATGTTTTTTCATCAGATTTGTAGAATAAATCATAAACACTATAGCCGTGTGGGATTAAAATTGCATGTGATTTATCTACAACTGCTTTAAATACATCTAACTTCATTAAATCTTTGACTAAATCTAATGACTGACTTCCCATGCCAGGAAAAATGAAGTATATTGGCCTTTTATCTCCAGAAATATAACCTCGCTGGAATATTAATTTCATATATATTTATTAATATTTTATCTATAAGTAAAAATATTATGATTTAAATAAGTATAAAACTCACGGCTATTTCAATATTTCGAGGAGTTTCCCCAAGAATTGAATATCCAGAAAGTTTATAACCAGGGATTGGTGATTTGTATATATCATCAATCAATGTTAATAAATCGTTGTTATCTGCATAATTTTCTATCTATTAGGAAAATGAAATTTGTATAGATAACATTTGCTATTGTATTAATTATATTAGTAATAAATTAGATAAACATGTATTACTGTTTTCTTTTATGATTGTCTACATTTAAAAATAGAATGTTTTAATAATTGTATGAACATAATGTAGAAAATAATTACACTATTATATCGATAGTGAAACTTTTAGAACCTACGTGATAAAATACAATTTGAATAATTTTTTTTCTTAGCTGGAGTGACAGTATGTTCATGATTTCAGAAATCATGAAGCCTCTGTACCAAGTTTTTTGGTGACAACTGTAATAATGGCTAATTTGGATGTTAGTCAATTATTCATTTCCCGTTTGACCATTTCAAAGTTATATTAAGGGACAATCACGATACAAAAAACACTAAAATATTGTACAATTTATAAAACTAACTATTTCAAATTGATCATTCAATGCTTCCTTTGTCCTTCCTGACAAAAACACTAGCCTAGGAATATTTAGTTTTGGCAATGATTTACTCTGTATTGTTTTATCATGAGCTTTAAGAATAACATGGACATTTGTACCTCCAACACCAAATGAATTAATAGAAATTAAATCTCCTGGCAAAGGTATATTTTTATCAACAACCTGCAGATAGATTTTAAAGAACACATAATTAGTAAAGTTACTATGAAATCATTACATTTTCATGTTTTTAAACTTGCCTGTAAATCGCCGCTCACAAGTGAAGGAATATTGTGATTTAGTGTTTCAAAATTAATAGTAGCAGGAATAACTCCTGTTTCCAATGCATAAATCACTTTGGCTATTGATACTAAACCAGATACTGGTTCTGAATGTCCCACATTTGATTTAACCGAACCAACAAGCAGAGGACTTTTACGACCAACACAGAATACATCTGAAATGGCACTTAACTCTTGTTTGTCACCCACCTATTAAGATAATAATTTCAGAAATACTCATTTAAAATATTCCTATGTATTTTACATACACCTGTTCCCGTTCCATGAGCTTCAACGTAGTGAACATCAGTTGGTTTTAAATTAGCACAAGCGTATGTATCTCTAATTAATTGACTTTGCACAGACTGGGAAGGATAAGTAGCTCCTTCAATTTTGAATCCATCGGTATTAGTAGATGTACCGGATATAGTAGCGTAAATTCTTTTGGAATCCGTTGATTTTCTGATGTAAATGGCTACAATAGCTTCACTTCTTACATAACCATTAGCTACATTTAATAAATAAACATCACTCTAATTATTTTAATTTAATTATGATTACAGTGAGATTGTTATTTACTAACCACTTATATCGAAAGGTCTACTTGTTCCAGTAGGACTAAGCATATTATACCGATGATATATAAGTGACATGGCTGGTTTTAAGAGTAAATTAGTTCCTGCTACAATAGCAGCATCACATTGACCTGCTTTTATTGCTGTGATGGCGTCGTGTAAACAAAATAGTGCACTAGAACATGCGGTATCAATCGCAACACTTGGGCCTATTTTTAATTATAAAATTACTGATAATTAGGTAATTGAAAATTTAAATTTAAATTAAAAAAAAAAAATACCTTTAAAATCGAATTGGAAAGAAAGTCGGTTAGCTAGCATAGACCGGATCGCACCTATAGTTTCATATCCAGACAATTTTTCTGGTGTCCGTTCATGAAAATCTGCTGACTCGGTGGTCATCATACCGACGTATACTCCTGTTTTTGTTCCACGAATTTCCGTCGGATTTAAGCCTATAGAAGTTTAATAATATTAGTGAAAAAGGTTTTTTAGATTCTGAACTTAACGAGAATGCTATTAGTTTTACTAAGATGTGTTTTTTTCTCTGATAACACTTATTATGGATTGGAAAAATTCTATATACACCTAAAATATGAAGAATTTTCACTAAGTGATACTTTACTCGAAATACTTTAAAATTATATCTGTAATTCATACCATATTTTCTTTTTTGCCCCCCCCGGGAAAACACTTTACAGTGGCACACCCGTCTTTAGTATCAGTTCTTTTATTTTTTTAATGTTAAGGGGGTTTGAACATAAGTATTTTCCATTAGTTTTAGACCAATAAACAATGATAAATAAGACATACACCCATATCCGATTTTAATTATTCAAGTTTGTATGAATTTATTAACAAATTGTCTACGTTATATAGGAAGTCAATTATTATATTTTCAGTTTAAAAGATTTGAAAAATTAAGATATTTTTTTTTTGAAAACTTCGTGATATAATCACATTACATTAGTATTTATTTTAGACACAATAAAATTTTAAATCGAAAAATCTACTTTCTAAATAACCAACAAACTCTTCAGTTAATCCATAAGCCTTTAAAAATTAAAATTCAATATTGCGTAGTATGTCTATTTTTCTATTCGATTATTGGACATCTGTTCGTTTATAAAAATGGCCTTACCTCTTTTCCAAAAATTAGATTCGAGCAGTAGATCAATGGAAAACTCTCATCAGTTATTATTATTAAAGATTTTCAAGGAGTACAAGATAGTCAAAAGTAAAAATAAATTCCAAAATTACAAAATTGGAAGAAATTTGGAAAGCCATTTCCAACAATTTTAAATAAAATAATAATTTATCAAATACCTGCATCAACAATAGCTTCATGAGTAACCTCAAGTAAAATTCGAAGTTGTACATCCATGACATTTGATAATTTTGAATTAATTCCAAAGAATTCTGCATCAAATTTGGATAATTCCTTTAACTTTCCTGTCTTTGCTGGAACTCCATACATTCCTAAAAAATAATATTGTTAGTTGAATTAGTCCATTTCAAACATCCAGAAAAGATTAATTAATATCGTAATATTTTAAGGACCATAAAATCTGTGTTACTAGTTGATTTTGTAAAATAGTAAACCTAAGTACCTATACATAATATTTTCATTCTATAAAAAGAATTAAATTATTTGAACTGTAAATAAATTATCAAATTTTTAATTTTAAATAAATAGGTAGTATTTTATTTCTAGTTTTCTTATGTCCAAATACAATTTTAAATTAATATTAAAGGGTATCAATTTAAATTCTTCTCGATTAACTCACCCGGAGACCATCTTCTATTATCGACAGTCAACAGGTCCGCATTATTAAACAATTTCTGTTTGAATTCTTCGGTAGAATCACATTCTGGAAATCTTCCAGCAATTCCAGAAATTACTATTTCTGTTGGTTCCGACATACCTATAAATAATTATAAATACCTATTACCAATAATGAATGATATTAAATTAAACACAATGATTAATAAAAATAATTTTTAAATTAATAATAGTTTTGGATTTCTGGTAGATAGGTAAAATTCCCTTTATACAGTAGTATAGGTTTTTACCTATACTACCTAAATTTCAAAAGGAAAGGCACCAGGATATGCTTTACGTTATATATACAATTTCAATGTCAAATTTAAAAAAATAATAAAATACACCTAATTATAATTTTTGATTATTCATCAGTTTTTAATAAAAGTTATTATGCATAATTTTTTAAAACTAGTAAAAATTAATTAGTTACCAGAATCGAATTAAATAATTTCTGATATTACTATATTATTTTATTTACCATATTACCATTGGACCAATGTATGGCAAACTAAGAGCGGAGTTATAAACTTATTCACCGAAACCTTAACCCGAAATGTATGATTTATTTAATAAATTATTCGTAATACGTAAGTAAATCCTGGTGTATCACATTAAATTTTTTATTAAATGTAGGAAAAGCGGAAAAATAGGTGCAATAATTACTAATAAATAATAATAATAACAAATAATATTATTATTAAAACAAATCTACAATGCATATAATCATTTTACCATAATACGATATATTATATTATATTGTTGACAAAGCTACACTATTAACGAACTCCACCCATAATCGTTTTCTGTTAGCAATGGTTAATCGCTGCATACAGATATACATTAAAATTCCCCTCTTTCCTATTTTTTCCCAATTTCTTACTTACAACAGTGACCCATCCATCGTGTAAAGTATACCCGTCTCTTTATTACTGTTACTGTGTCTTAAATGCATATATATATATATAAAACTAAGGAAGTAAAAATAATAAGTGATAAAGAACACACCCTCCCCCCCGAATATTTTTTCTGGCTACATTACTCTGTACAGGTTGCATCTTTTCTGAAAACAAATTTTATCCAGTTGATAAATTGGGAAATTATTTTTGAACTTTTCATTTAGTCAACTTAATAATTGAGAAAAAACTAAATTTTGATGGACAATGTAAAAATTATGAAATACTAAAACCGTTTCGTAAAGATAACACATATAACGGAAATATTGGTGACACGGATAAAAAAAAAATAACAATTATTATTTAATATTTGGATACTTAGTTTGGTGGTAAGAAGGGTAAATAAAATAATATAGTAATATCAAAAATTAATTAATTCGATTCAAGTTATTAAGTAATTTTTAACAGCTTAAAAAAATAATGTATATTAATTATCTTTAAAATCTGGTGTATTAAATTAAAATTAGGTGTATTTTATTTTGTTTTTCACTATAATTGTAAATTTGACATTGAAATTATTATTCTTAATTAAATTGCGTAAAAATAAAATATATATCTAATCAACGGTACTTAGGTGGTCGTTACATTAAATAAAATATATTTTACGATTTTCCCAAGAGTATATTCACAAAATATAAAAAACCGAAAAAAAACTAGGAAAAATGGAAAAATGAACATAATGTAGGTATTAGTTGAAAAATATTTCGGCCTTTTTTTTCTATAATCAACTTTTCTACCAAAAATGTTGCTCTAATTTACAATGGTAGTACATTTTCTGAAAGAAAATCTGCCTTGGAAGTTACATTAAGGTCATTTTTTGATTTTCCTAAGGGTTTTCTTAGCAAATGTGAAAAACCGGGAAAATCGTTACAAATTTAAACAAATATTATTAAAGAAAATTTATTATACCTATTTAATCATTTTACCATAATATGACATATATAATATATATTGCAGACAAACCATCACTATCAATTGAACTGTGTTCAGAATCGTTTTTTCGTTAGCAATGGTTTGTAATGATATGCTATTTAAGCTATCATACATTATGTAAAATAAAATATTATGTAATGTTAATAAATCAAACAATTAATAACAGGAATCATAGTAAAACATTTACATCAAATTCCATTCTTTTTTATTATTAAATAACATATAATTTAGTGCGATATTTACTCATCGTAAGGAGATAATACTTAAGCTATCATATATAATTAAAATAAATTATATAATCAATATTGTAAAATAATTATAATAATTTGTAGCCATTAATNGACAGATGATCACAAGCGAGTGTAAAAGACTACGCAGAGATTCTTACAAAAGCACGGGAACCTAGAACAGTGTTTTCTATTTTAAAAAAATTAATAAAAAAGAAACAGTTGTTATATTAAAAATCTTTTTATTTACTACGATCACCTATATCAAATTCAACAGATCAATTTGCCGCCTGAAGAAGAAAGGTAATCAAATTTATAATTAATTTATACGTGTGAATCGAATTTACATAACTAGGCACCTCCCGTCATATTTTTGAATTACTACAGGTTTATAGTTGCTTACAAAAAAAAATATGAAATAACCTATAACAGTGGCTGTACCCGTCTTCATTATCCTAGGACATCTTTTTTTTTGTAACAGATCTATCGTTGAAAAGTCTAGAGTTTTAAGGAATGATTTAAATATATAAACAATTTTAATATTATAAATATCCATTAATATTAAGCTTTCCACATATTTGAGTAACTGCAAATATAAACTTTTTAAACCAAGTTGTTTTTTAAGAACAGGTACGCAAATATTAATATTTACTTTATAACAAGTAATACACGAGTGATATATCCTAGTTAGATTATGCTTAAATATGAAAAAACTAAACGCATGGATACATTGACCACACAACACAACTTTAACCGTCCCTATACCGACAGTACCTAAATTATTTTAATCTAAATTCTTAAGAATACTTCAAATCGGAAAAATATTTTCTAAAAAATTCGAATCTATTGTGAAAAAAAAAATTGCGTTAAATTGCAAACGATCACATAAAGTTATTGTTATGTATATTATCCATGAGTTACATAATTTTTTTAATGTGTATTTTATATTACAGTTTTCTAATTGTATACTGTGTATAGCTATAGAATTATTATTCAATTTAAGCATATGGTTTAGTAAATACAAGTATAATTATATATAAATTATAATTTATTGTATTAAATATACTAATAATATGTTATATTATAATTCATTTGATAAAAACCATATATGAAATAATCTAAAAATCGTCTACAAAACGAAATTCAAGTTTCTATTGATTATTATCCAATATAGACGTAATTATAGATTTATAAGCCATAATAGAGGTCAAATACGACCTCTATGATAAATTCAAACATGGATTTATATACATTTTATACTAAAAAGTCGTATTTTCAATGTCAAGCAGCCATTAACAGTTTACCTTATAATTATTATAGGTGCATTACTCTAAATGTTTAGAATAGTAAAAATATGGACAGACATACTTCGCACCACAAGTGAGACACTGTTGTAGGTGAGAAGTTGGGAAAGTAGGATATAAAGGAAAATTTAATTTATATTTGTGCGCAAAGATTATTCAAAAAATATTAAAATAATCAAAATTGAATAAAAACAAAAAATATAACCTTCATATAGCTAACGATAAACCTTATTTTTATCTTTTAATCTATTTAAATCTTAAGTACCAGTTTTTCCTCATTATCTCGATTTTTAATAAAAATGTCTAAAAAATATCTTTCTAAAATAGCAACTAGAGCCAAAATGCAAAAAAAAAAAAGGTTTCTTGTCATGTTTTAGTTCGAGCAAGATTTCCAGGTAAAAATGTGTACATGGTTTAAAAATACACCATTGTAAAACCAATATATTCTTCGCTTCACTCAGAATCTAAAATATTTTATCTTATAAACGTAATATAATTATATTTATAGGGTGTTTCTGAAATGAATGTTACCACAAGCATTACAATAAACTAATCGATACGTGAGGTGATCCAACAAAACAATTATTTAAATTTGTTTTTACTCCCAAAACCTATTTTAGATTCTGAGCAGAACGTAGGATATATTGGTTTTATAATGACGTTTATTTTTCAACTTTTTTTTGATTTTCCAGGAGTTTTCCCAATAAATGGGAAAAACTGGGAAAACGGGAAAATGTACGAAATGTAGGTATTATTAAAAAAATATTATGGCCTTTTTTTTTCCTGTGGACCACTTTTATACTAGCAATGACTTAAATTATTGCAGTTTTTCTGAAATCAAATTTGACTGGGAGATCATTTTTTGATTTTCCCGACTATTTTCATAATAAATGGGAAAAATTAGAAAAAAACATGGAAAAAAATGTATGAAAATCGGGAAAATAGGTTTATGTTTATATTATACTCTTTGTATTTCTACATTATTTTATTTTTGTTTCATTTTTCTTTTCATAGAATAAATATGTTCAACTAAACTTGTAGTAGGACGTTGCGATTAACAATATGATAGCAGTTTTTTGCTTGTATATTCTGGGATAAATTTACGGTATATCTACTAGGTTCGGTAGGTAATAGTTATAACTAAAGTACGGATTTCAAAGCAATAAATAACTAAAGAAAAGCACTAAAAAAGAGCAATGAATGTGTATAAATCTTCCAAAAAAACTTAAAAAACATTAAAAATAGGTTTAAAAAAAAAAAAAAAACATGGCATATTTTTATGTTTATTGTCGTTTCAAGATAAATTCATCTACTGTATACTATACAATTCGTGAATCACATTATCTAAATTGCATTGATAAATATATCCATAAATCAAACATAACGAGATAAAATCGATTGAGCCTGTCATGATCTTGGAACACATTATATAATATAAAAATAAATATTAATATTTCAAATACGTTTATTTAAAACACATTTTAGAAAAATGTAACTTAAAAGCAAAAATAATGCCCAAAATATCCGAAAAAACATTAATAACAAAAAAAGCAAATAAAATGTCGTGCGTATTTATTATAAATATTATAAATCGAATTTTTAGCTGACATAGCTTCGTTTTAGAGCAATAGAAAAAAAAAGCAATTGCCTTCAAAATCCGTACTCAAGTTATAATTAACTA